GCCCCCCCGCCCCCGCCGGCAGCCACAGTGGGGAAGCCTGGGAAGCCCTCGCAGAGCCCAAACCAGGAGGCGACTGGAGAGCCAAGCCCCAGCGCCAAGACGAAGGCAGCGAGTCTGGCCGATGCTGCTAGCAGTGACGCGGCCAAGCCCAGCCCGCTGGGAGAGGGCCTCAAAAAGCCTGTGCTCCCGGCCACACCAAAGCCACAACCCACCAAGCTGCCAATGACCCCCGCCAGCCCCGCCCCCACACCCTCCACGCTGCCAGCAGCTTCCTCAGCCCTGGCTGGGGACCAGCCATCTTCCACAGCCTTCATCCCTCTCATATCGACCCGCGTGTCTCTTCGGAAAACCCGCCAGCCTCCGGAGCGGCTTGCTAGTGGCGCCATCACCAAGGGCGTGGTCCTGGACAGCACCGAGGCCCTGTGCCTCGCCATCTCCCGGAACTCTGAGCAGATGGCCAGCCACAGCGCCGTGCTGGAAGCCGGCAAGAACCTCTACACATTTTGCGTGAGCTACGTGGATTCCATCCAGCAAATGAGGAACAAGTTTGCCTTCCGAGAGGCCATCAACAAGCTGGAGAATAACCTCCGGGAGCTTCAGATCTGCCCTGCAACAGCAGGCGGTGGCACGGCGGCCACCCAGGACTTCAGCAAGCTCCTCAGCTCTGTGAAGGAAATCAGCGATATTGTCCAGAGGTAGCAGAAGCCAGGTGTCCAGCAGTGGGAGCTGCCTGCAGCGCGTGAGGGCTCGCCTGTGACATGACGGGGGCCGACAAGGGACAGGAGCTCTGCACGGGCAGAGCCAAGGGCCCGTGCATCCAGCCCACTACCTGCGTGTGCCCCCACTGTCCTCACCACCTCCTCCCAGCTCGGTGCCCGAGCCATCGTCCTCAAGTTGTATCTGTGGATCCCCACTCTGGACATGCCATGGCAGGTGGGAGGGCCAACAGGGAGTGCCCCTTCCGTCATCCTCTTTGGAGACCCTCCTCCCTGGCTGTGCCTTCTCCCATTTTCCCAAGAACAGAAGCCTGAACCGAGGCCTGTGCGCCGCCCCTCTGCCCTCTGTCCTTGTCCTTGACCCTCCCATGTAGAAGACACGTCTCGAGACCCACATTTTGGGAAGGGCATCACAGCCAGTGCCGCCTCCACTGCCCAGGTGCACATGCCACTTCCTCACTTGTGGACAGCTCTTGATCTGGGTTAAAAACAGGGTGCTAAAGCCACCAGCCTCTGGGTCCTGGACAGCTGGAGCTGAAGGGAATCGAGGTGTGGGGGGTGTCCTTATCATCTGTTTGTTCTGTGTCCCTGGAGCCTGGTTCTTGCTCTTTTGTGACATGCACCGTGAATCCTGCCCGGGATGCTTGAGTTGTAAAGGTGGCAGGTTATGGTCACTGCCAACCCCTCAGCACAGTGGAAGCGGGGGCCACCTGAGGGTGTGGCCAGTGCCAGGCTAGCCACAGACTGAGCCCAGGCAAGTCTGCAGCGGCCCGGGGTGAGCCTTGCTCCCACACATCCAGTGCCCTAGGTATCTTGATGTCTGCCCCACCTGCTACCCCTCCTTGCTCCTCTAAGAGAATGGAGATGTTTGCAGGGCCCTTTTCTTTGGAATAAGCCCGTCTTCAGCTTTCTGGAGTTCTTGAAGCATTTTGAAACTCTGTCTGCAGGCATCCAGACACAAACAGGAGGAAGAGAGCTGTTGGCACCAGAGGCCCTGGCTGGTGTTAGCCGCACTCTGGAATCAGGCGAATATCTTATTTACCATGAGTAGTAACACTAAGCCTAATGTTTCTGTGGGGGTCTTCAGGAAGTGTTCAGAAAACCACAGACGAAACCCCAGAAAGCGTTTCAGAGAGCAAGCCTTGGTGTCTTCTTCCCTGAGCTGCCCAAGGCCAGAGCTGAGGCATGAGGCTGTGACTCGGGGCAGGAAGAGCTGCCGACTCCAAGCGCAGGCCTCAGACCGGCAGGAAACCACCTCCCCGCTCCCTGTGCCACCCTGTGCCAGCAGTTCGCCCAGGCTCCGTTTTACACTAATCACCTGAACTTGTATTCTATTTTTCTGGTAGAAATGGTTTCCTCTGGATCGTTTCTGCGGTTCTCACACATCACCTCTTTGCCCCCCCCCGACTGTGCTGCAGTCCGAGGGGGGCGCTAGACACCGACAGCGGCCTTGCAGACAAAGCAAAACACCACCCGGTCCCCGACGGCCCGTTTCCACGAGGTACTGGTCTCTCTTTGTTAACATGATGTGCCACTATATTTTACATTTATGCCTTGGTATTACACTCTTTTGTAGACGCGCTCTTTTATAAATGATGTGTACATAGTTTTCCACCCTCCTTTCTTCTGGAATGCCTATGGTGTCCCCCTTTTTTCTGGGTCCAGTACATTTTGTTTCTGTATATGCCTCTCTGTGTTTTTTGAATCCAAATCTCTCCTCTGTAGTATTTTTTAAATAAATCAGTGTTTACAGCCTTAGGATCTTTGGCCGATTGTCTCAGTCTGTGACCCTGCCCTCTGTGCTGACCACTGTATGCTGGTGGGCAGGGATGGAGTAATTTGGTCTCCTGAGGGCCTGGGGGCCTAGGCTGAGTCTCCCTGAGCAAAATGAGCAGAGCTGAGGCAGCTGCCGCCCCGCCACCCAGGCTTCCTACGTCCTGAGTGCTCACGGCCATCTCACGGGCACTTTCCCTGCTCCGCTGAGGTCCTTCCTGTGCCCCTGGCACTTACCTGCCAGCAACCTAGGTCTTGTCCTCATCACTGAAAGGGAGTTGTGCCACCTTCAGGGCCATGCCTGACTGACAGCAGCAGGCGACACTGACGTAGGGAGGAAGTCAGGGCCTGAGTTTCTTGCTGGCTGAGAGAGTGAATCCTTTCCCGAGCATGTCTTTTCTCTCTTCACCCTGCCCTCAGCCCCAAGATGCCCCTCACGTACTTGTGTTCTGCATGTCAGGTCTTATTGCTCCGTGTGGACAAGGAGGTACGGGAGTCCAGGAATGCTGCCTGGGCTGAGCCACAACCCCAGGGGACTGTTGGGTGAGGAGTGCTGCCCCAGCTCGGTCTCCACTGAGCTGAGGGCCTGGACAGGGCTCTGGGGAAGCAGGCTACACCCTCAGGTAATGATCCTGGCCAAGCAGCCGGCCTGTCAGGGTGCAGATCCTGCTCACCAGGGCACACTGAGGAGCTTGGCTCAGGGAAACCTCCTCGCGAGAGGCCTCGGCGGTGAGATGTACCACATATCCGGCCATAGGAGACTAGCAGCCAGGCCAGGGCAGGTGGCAGCCATCACCATGTACTCACGAGGAACAGTCGCGAGCAGCACCAGGCGCCAGACACTCCTCCGGTTTCACAGAGACAAAGATGAGGCTGGGGCTAGAGTCCATTACCGGTTGAGCCATAACTGGTCACCAGATCTCCTGCGTCTGGGGCTTTTCTGTACCTAACAGGGTTGTCCCTTGAGTGACTACTCCCAAGTCTGAAAGAAGACACGGAATGATTCTGGTAACGGCCACAACTGGCAGCCACTTCCTTGTGTCAGGTGTGGACATTCACAGGATCCTCTAGTGGGCACACTGTCATCCCATTTTCCCCAACACTGAGCGGCTGGTCAGGGCATGCACAGTGAGGCCAGTCCCCTCGGTGGATGTGCTGGCATGGTGTGAGACTCTTCTCCTCTCACAGGGTCTTCATGTGTGTCACCCAAGCTTAGAAAGTTTAGTTTGGCCCAGCCATTCTAAGACAGTGGTTTCTGATCCTTTTTAGATCACAACCTCTCAAGAATCTGATGAAAACCGCGGATCCCAGCCCTAGTTACATGCCCACATGTGCATGCACACAACAGTTTCCAGATCATTTGAGTCCTGAGCCAAGGAGTGCCCAGGGGCCGGGCCCACCAAAGGGCCCAGCCCCTACTGTTGATATTGTTATCACAAAATGCAAGCCTAAAGGATCAAGAATTTTCTTAAAAGTCAAACAAGGCTGGGCGTGGGCACGGTGGCTCAAGCCTGTAATCTCAGCACTTTAGGAGGCCAAGGCAAGAGGATTGCCTGAACCCAGAGGTTTGGTCAAAAGTCAAACAAATGGAAAATCCACATGTCCATCAACAGAAAAAAAAGATTTAAACGTGTTGTGTTCGTGGAGTGACAGCACAATGAGCACAGCCACACATGACAACGTGAGTGACTCAAATACCACATTGAGCCAGACACAGAGTAGTGATGCCGAAAGCTTCCACTGATTAAAGGCACAACTAGCGTGGAGCATCAGAAGTCAGGATGGAGGGGGGTGTGGGATGTCAGAGTGGGTGCCTGACTGGGGCCCAGGGCAGTCTGGGGGCCAGTCTGTTTCTTCAGTTTCTTAGTCCAAGTGATGCTGGCCAGTGAGTATTCCCTCAGTGAAGTGGTATAAACTGTACGCTGAAAAGTGGCGCACATTCTGGGTTTGTGTTAGGCTTTGGTGGAAGGTTTCCTGAAATCACAGCTCGCATGTGAGCATTCTCAGCGTCTCAGCTATCCTGAAGGTGCCTGCCACGTTGCCGCCTGAAACTGCACATCTGTTTTTTGCAAGGAGGGCATTTCTGTCACTGTCATCCTTTGACAGGTAAGGAAGCCGAGGCTCAGAGACATGGAGCAACTTGGCCAAGGTCACACGGCATGTGCCAGCCTTTGCCTACTATGGCAGATGAACTCGTAGACAGTGCAGATGGCCCCCACAGGACCCGTGGAGAACTGCGCTCCAGAGCCAGGTTCCTCCATAATGGAAGAGAACCAGCCACCAAGTACAGACAGCCCCAGCCTCACAGGTGTCAGAGATCATTCATGGGACATGTTGCTGAGCTCAGGGCTCTCTCACTCCACTCTTGTCTCAGCACGGAAAACATCAGGTGGGACCACCCACAGTGTCCCATCAGCATAGCCCTCATCCCTGGAGGCCACCTGACATCATGGCAGGTACCCCCCCCCCCCCGCTCCAGTGGCTGTCGCTGCTGTCACCAGGGAAGTCAGTGATCCTGTCAAGGAGGGTGTTCCCGAGGGCAGGAGAGCTGTGGGTGCAGCAACTCCGTGGAGGCCCAGCTCCCCTGGAGGGCGGAGAGCACCTTGTCACGTTTGGGGCCTTTAATGAATGCAGTGTCTTGGGCACTGGGACAAAGCTAGACCAAGGTGGCCTCCCTCATGCCTACGACAGTGCTGCCTGTGACTGGCTGCCCCCAGGAGCTTGTTTTAAACATTTATTAATATTCAAGCTTGCAGGAAAATACAAGTATTTCCCGTTAATTTTGATAGCTAAATACCTGCAGGTCTACACACCAGTATGAAGACGGTGTTGTGTCTTGAGTAAATATAGCAAACAGATGCAAACAGCTCTTGGAGCCAAAGACTCGGCTGGCGGGACCCGACCTGCCAGGCCAGGTGGAGTCAGCCTGGCCCGCCCAAAAGCTCAGCCTCTGCTTCCAGAATAAATGTCTCCCGGAGAGTCTCCACTCATCTGGAGAGAAGCAATCTTCCCTGTCCAGGAGAGAGCAAGGGCCAAGGGAGCACTGGATGGCGTGAGGGGCCCAGAGGCCTTGGCAGGCTCCGAGGGGTTGACAGCAGGGCAGGGGTGAGACGGGACGTTCAGCCAAGTCCAGTGGGAGTGGATGTGATGGATCAGTGCCCTGAGCAGCATGGCTGTTCTGATTTTCAGGGCTATTGAGCTCAAATGTACAAGCAAACGGGAGAGAACAGCTTTGTTGACTTTTTTGATGATAAAAGCATAATGACAGTATGCCCATTCCTTTGAAGGTCTCCCATTTTCTTTATCCCAGGTTTCTCCATCAAGGTTAATCTAATCCAGCTAAATTAAAAACCGGCCCATGCACACCCAAGGATGGTGCCAGGGCCTAGCAGCCCTGACAGCTGCTTTCCAAGCGGAGGAGCTGGCATGTGAGGGCCACTCAGGAGACCTTGCTCCGGGGTCCCTCCGCCCCCGGTCTTTGGGCCATCGTGTCTCACCTGGTCTCCGATGAGCACATTCTCTGGGGCTCCTTTATGAGTGAGTGAGCTGCGGGGCGTTGATCCAGGTTGCTGCCCCCCCCACCCTTAACCCAGTGGAACGAGCGCCCCTGGGGTGAGAGAATCTGCCCACCCACCCTGTGTGTGCCAGGGCCATCCTTACAGCAAGGACCCCAAGGACATTAGGTGGTGACAGCATCCCTGTGCGGGAGGTGTTCTGACACCCTCTTTTCGCACGGTGGCAGAGCCAAGGAGAGGACAGCACGCCCCCAGCCTCAGGTGCCCTGTCTTGTCCCCATCACAGCACCCATGTACCGAGCCCAGGGGAGCCCCCTGCTCCCGTGTGGGGCACAGTGAGGCACTCTGGCGGAAGGTGGGTACTTCAGCCTCAGGTGGCGCTCTGCTCCTGTGTGCCTTTCGCCGGTTCTGTTCCCAGTCAGATCAGTGCTTTGGCGGCTCAGATGTGTCACCCCCTAATGAAGTGGCGTTCTGGCTGCCGAGGATTGAGAGCCGCCACCGGGAACGCAAGTCACTAATAGAATGGAAAACACTGAAATACTCAAGGTGCCAAGCTGGGCCCAGCCCAGTGTGGTTCTAAAAGGCTAATAAAAATCCACCAATTAATTGTGACAGCTCAATGGAAAATTATTCAATTGTGAACAGGGCAAGCAGCAGCTCGGAGGAGGAGGGGAGGCGTTGCCATGGCAACATCAATGTGAGTTCTCATCTCATCTCGCGGCGGAAGCCGGCCCGGGAGTGAGCAGCCTCCGACTGCCGCATCTGACACGGGCTGGGATGCGGGAGACACCAAAGCCGCGTTTGAAATGGATGCTCTGCCTGGCCCCAGGCCCACAGCCACGCCAGGCTGAGCGCGGGCCTTCCTGGGTCAAGGAGTTGTTTTCCGAGTGTCCCTTGTCCTGGGGAGACCAAAGGGGGGGAGACTCGAGGAGGAGGAGGAGGACACGCCCTGCGCCGTGCCCTCTGCTGCTCTGATCAGCTGGCGGTTGGAAGGATCTAGGGAAAGGTGTTTGGGCCCGGGCAAAAGGATTCCCACCTCCCCGAGGCATGGCACCCAGAGCTCAGAGGGCCTGCAGGGAAGAGGCCAGTATCCCATCATGGCTTCGCACTTGTTACAACTTTTATTTCAACAGACACACACAACACATTCAGATTCTGGACGCTGCAAATGCCACCTCGCTACAGCAGGAGTGTGGTCCTGCCTAGTCCATCTCCAGGGGGCTCTTGGCGTGGCAAGCACTGGGTCAGTTGGAGCAGGACGTCTGTCAGAAGGGGGTCCACCCACAGCAGAGGCTTCTGCCAGGTCAATCTTACATTAATTAATGGCATGGAGGGCGAGAATGGGTTTTTTGTTTTCTTCCATTTTTAACTTTCAGGACCGTCCTCTGTGCCCAGTGGAATGCACTCATTCACAGCCACACTCTGGATGTCGGCTACAGGGATCCCTGTGGAGACTGTCACGACTTTGATCAC